AACTTCTGTTTCATCTTTGTTTCGTCAATGAGAAATGAGTTAGGTCATCAATCGAGTCAAGGCAGGGAGGAACTTTTTTGAAGAATACAAGGAAACCTCCACCTAACATTTCAGTATGAAACTTAAACCTCATTCTCAGTCTTCCTAGCATGTATCTCTATCGAGAACAGATTCTGCATGAAGCTCAAACGCTTTGCTTCATGCTGGTCAATAGTATTGATCAGGGATGGCAGGGACATAAGCCACTGGCATTTTTCCTCCTTTGCACCCGATGCTGGAAGCGGTCTCATTACAGATCACGTTTCTGCGGAACATCACGTGGACCTTGTCCAACTTGTGCCGAAACAAGAACCCTTACCCTCCCGTGAAAGCCGTGAAGCAGATGTTGCCTGTCCTGTCCCACCTTCTGAAGCACCAAGACAGCGAAGTTCTCTCGGATACCTGCTGGGCCCTGTCTTACCTCACTGATGGCTCCAACGAGCGCATCAGCCAAGTGGTCAACATGGGGGTCCTGCCCAGGCTGGTCCAGCTCATGAGCAGCTCAGAGCTCAATGTCTTGGTAAATGTCCTCAGTCCTGTCTGTCTCTGTCTGGGCCTTCACAGGAGATTGTGTGAGTCATATTCCCTTGAACCAGGCCTCTCCCAGCCCTGGTCTTCCACAGTCGGGTCTCATACTTTAGAACAAAGCTTGTTGTCTACATTTCCCAGGTCTCTGCTATTCTCTAGCCAAAGACTTGAATCTGTTTTGACCCAATGTCCTAGTGGATGTTAAATAACTTACTCTGTCTTAATCTGATAACTAGCAAATCTAGACAGGCACCAAATTAAAATAATCCCTCTACCCAGTAAACTATTCTTTTGTGGTCTTTACTTCTAGGGGTCTGTGCATATGGATGTTAACAAGTCGGCTAATACTGTGTGTGTGTGTGTGTGTGTGTGTGTGTGTGCGCGTGTGTGTGTGTGCGTGCGCACATGCGCACGCATGTGTGCACACATGTGTATTAACATAAAGCTCACTGTAACATTTGAATTTCTTACTCAAGTATTAGAAAAAAATTCCCTCTTATCCTCTCCCCAGTTTATTAGTCTACTTCAGTATAGGTAAAATGAAAAAAGGAGACCAACATCAGGTACTTTGCTATGATATAAAACGTGTCCCTTACATAATATGCTTCTTGAAGATAGGCCTTGAAATGTGAATGGCCCTTTTGATTTCTGTGGCTAACGTTGCATATTTATGCAGCCTTAGTGATCATCTATGCCTAGATTTGCATAGTATTCCTTGGATGTTAAGGTTAGTTTGAGGATAATATAGGGGAGAAGGAGGGTATAAGAATATCTATAAGAAACTACTTGTCCTGGGGGGTATAGAACTCATTTGGAGCTGTCCTGCCAAGGCTGTGATTGGCCTGTAGCACTACTTCAGCTCTCGCTGAAATAGCAGATACCCAGCATAAAAGGCTAGGAAAACTCTAGAACCATCTGCATGGGGGCAGCCACTAGGGTGCACGCGAACCAAAAAAAATGCAGTCAGCCCTCAGTGGATGGGTGTCTTGAGCCCAATTGCAGACTCATCCTGGGGACCTTTGGAGTTGAGAGGGAGTTTGTGAATACATTAAAAAAAAAAAATGCCATTGGGATCTCATTAGCACCAATTAAATATACAACAGAAACTTGACACTGGTGCTAAAGACAAACTCTGTAGAAGTTATCACATTATAAACCCTGTAATCAATTTAGCGATTTTTTTTCCCCACCATAAGGATATGAAAGGGGGCAGCATTATTTCTTAATAAAGGCATCCCTTGACCTCTATCTCACGTGAGCTGGAACTATTGAGAGGCTAGCAAGTACCTTTAAATTATGCAAATGGCCATGGATGTGCTAAATTAACAGGGATCAAGAATTTAATGGTTATTCCTGGGTTTCCAGAGCGCCATGAATCTAGCATGAGGAATACTTGGGAACACGCTGAGCCTGGTGTGATTGTCCCCTTCTGTTCCCAGAAATTTGCAATGCTTGGTTATACTTGTAGCCTTGTTCTTCCAGACCCCCTCCCTCCGCACCATGGGGAACATCGTCACGGGAACAGATCACCAGACCCAGGTGGCCATCGACGCGGGCATGCTGACCGTGCTGCCCCAGCTCCTGATGCACCCCAAGTCCTCCATCCAGAAGGAGGCAGCTTGGGCCTTGAGCAACGTGGCTGCAGGGCCTTGCCAGCACATCCAGCGGCTGATTGCTTGCGGCATGCTGCCTCCCTTGGTGGCTCTACTAAAAAATGTGAGTGGTGCCCTCCGTGTCCACAACAAAAGGCTATTTTCCAATCAGCCCCGTGTTGAACTCCTTCAGGAATTCAGAGACAGGCTAAGAAGCAAATCAACTGAGATCCCAACAGAGCGAGGAAACCTTAGTTTTCCTAACTTGCCCTGGAAAAAGGAAGAGGCACCCTGTTTGGGATAGCCCATAAAAGATTTAGGAGACTAAATAGGCATTGTTCCATGGAAAGGTAATCCCCACAGCTCTAACAGTCAGGAAAATCTCGAGCTGGTAAACAGTTGGCTTATCTTTAGTGTTAAAAGAATGTACCATCCATTCTACCTGCCAAAGGGTGGGGGGTGTTTTGTTTTAGGAGGAAAAACCTATCAGGTTATAGTGATATGATACACTGAAGAAAGTGGCCTTTTCAGCGTAAAAAAATCACATCGATTAGAGTGGGGATAGACACTGAAAATCCAGATACAATGTGCAAATACAGTAAGGCTGCCTTCTTCCTCCTGATTCCCACTCTCCTTCCCTGGGACAACTTCTATGTGTCAGCATTTCTTTTGGTCACCTTTGAATGGATGAGCTCTGTTTAAATCATCTACACGTGACACCAGCCAGGGGTGGTTCAGTCTTATAGGGAGCAGGGAGGCCAGTGGAGTAGGGTGGGAAGGAGAAGCTGCTGCTGGTGGGACTCCTGCGCTCAGGTTGGATGGTGGGTTCCCAGCTGTCCCACTCAAATCAGGGGTTCGACCCAATGCCTCAGATGCTTCCTATCCTGTGTGCGTCCATGAGTCTGTACATATTCTAATCAGAAGATCCAATCACATGTCAATGAGGACTCTTATTTCAAACTGCCTTTTGAACCACAACTGGCTTGGAGCCGTATGGTGTTTTGGTTATCGATATGTTTTTGTTTTTGTGTTTTTAAGCCAAAGTCACAGTTTTTCTCCAGCCATAAAATGGGAATAACTCCTTCTGCCTGGGGATAGAAGGTTCTACAATAAACGACTCCCATATGTCTGGGCAAAGTGTTTCTTATAAATGCAAGGGATACATTGAGTGATGTTTCAGTGGCCTTCCTCTGTCACCTCTGGGCCGGCTCAGTCCCTGAGATCGCTTCTGTGTACTCAGCTTTGTAACTAGGGAACTTCCCATCCATGGTTTTCCCGTGACAGAAAGACCAGAAATGTTGACCTAGGTCACTATAACCTAAAATTCCAAGCATAATGCCATTTTTCCCATAACCCGACCTAAGGAAGTGAGTCTACTTCAAACTTAGAACCTTCCTCTAAGGCCCCATGGGAGTCTGCCTACCTGCTTCTGGGCTTCTCGAAGATGCTGTCTTCTGCTCAGGAACTAGAGACAGGTTGCTGAGGTGGTCCATGTAAATTGCACGGGCAGTCCTGGCTGTCCCCAGCCTACCTACAAATTGAACTAAGTTAGCATCACTGTATTTAAGTTCCTTAGGACCTATAAAGACTCTAAATGCTCTCTTTCGGCAGGGAGAATTTAAAGTCCAGAAAGAGGCTGTTTGGACCGTGGCTAACTTCACAACTGGAGGCACCATAGACCAGTTGATCCAGCTTGTCCACTCTGGCGTCCTGGAACCACTGGTGAATCTGCTTACCACCCAAGACACCAAAATTGTTAAAATCATCCTTGATGTTCTCTCTTTTATCCTCCAGGTGAGCTGTTCTAAGCAGGTCGGTTTTTAAATAGCAGTCTCCAAATTTAAGGCATTTAATTTGGTTCTTAAAACTCACATGTGGATTCTCTTTCCACTCCTTCATGCCCCCCTCCTAGCCGAATATCCTATGGGTAACCTAAACAAGAGATTTTTCAAAGAAGGTCCCTCTTCATTTTTCAAAGGGGTGGCTGTGTGCCCAGCATCGTTTCAGATGCTCAGCATACAACAGAACAACATCCTCGCTCTGACTGAGCCTATGTATTAATGGAGAGGGAACCAGACACAAGAGTTGAGAGTTTAGCAGCTAAAAGGGCCGTCGCTGATGGCTCAGAGTGGGGAGAGAATGGTGATCCCTCATACGCAGTCAGCAGGAGAAACTTGTCTTAGGAAGAGCATTTATGCTAAGCCCTGAGAAGAGCGAAGTGAGAGAGTCTTGTGGATATCTGGGGAAGAGCACTCAAGGATGAGTGGGAGGGAATGGATAGAAGGTGGTAGGTTAGGCTCCGAGCATCCAGGTAACATAAGGTGTAGGAGAACTTCAGCTTACTCCAAGTGAAATGGAGAAACCAATCAAAGCTTCAAACCAGGAGAAAGCAGTTCGTGAACCACATGGCTGGCTCTTTTAGAAGGCGAAAACAGGATACACGCAAAAGAGCAGCAAAAAGTTAGCAGGAATAGATCTTGAAACTGACTAGAAAGACTTGGATTAGAGATCTAGAAGAGTTTTATTTCGACAGAAGCCTATGTTCATGAACTGTGTGTCAGTTCTATATTGCTGCATAATTGATTACTCCCTGGTGGTCTAGAACAATTATTTATTATCTCACCTAGTTTCTGGGGTTAGGAATCTGGGGGCAGCTCAGCTGGATGGTTCTGGCTCAGGGTCTCTTATGAGGTTCGGGGTGTCATCTGGGGCTGCAACCTCATCTGAAGACTTGATGGAGGCTGGAGGGTCATCTTCCAGCATGGCTCCCTCACATGCCTGGAAAGTCATTGTCCCTACATGGACTTCTTCGTAGGGCCCTTTGTGTGTCTTCACATCACAGTGGCTAGCTTCCTCTGGAACAAGTGATCTAGGAAAGCAAGGTGGATGCCCCAGTGGCTTTTATGATCCAGCCTTGGAAGTCATTTCAACAACATCCAATTGGTTACACAGATCAGCCCCACTCAACATCAGAGGAAACTATACAAGGGTGTTCAGTACCAGGAGGCAGGGAGCATCTGAGGCCATCTTGAAGGCTGGCTATATTCATCTGTTTAAGGTCCTTTTATATGCAACTAAGCTGTTGGAAAAATTTCAAAGTAACACCAGGGGACTCCTTTTAAAAGCTCACTTTAAGCATCCTTTTCATGTAACTGTCTTGGAAAGAACTGACCTGAGTCAAGAACGGATCTGAAACAGCACCCAATTAGACACTAAGACTGAGCAAATCACACAGATGAAGAGGAGAGACTTGGCCCACCCGCAGACAAGGTTGGACATAACGACATAACACGTTTGTGAAAGCACACTTGTGAGCTATAGAAATTTAACTTCATTTGTTTCATTTGAACTAAATGTTTGGGATTTTTTTCCTTGGGAGAGTCTGGGAAAACCACATATGGTAGACCAGCAAGAGGCACTGAAATAGCAGGTTAGGAGGGTGAGGTAGGAGAGAGTCTCAAATGGGCAGCAGAGTGTAGATGAAGTTCTTTGAAGTGACTTTGGGGCCATTTGCTGTGGTGTCGATATCCAGACTCCTCCAGAGCTCTGACTGCCCTTGGTCATCCCACACTCTCCAGCATTCTTTCTAAGGCTAACCTAGCACATTTATTCTGCCTCAGTTTCTTTTTTCAGAGCCAAAAACCTCATTTTGGACCTGCGGCCAGGACTAGAGTATGTCAGGATTTAGACACACAGTGCAAACTCTGATCAGGTAGACAGTGTGGCCTAAATCATGTTTAATTTGAACCACAAGAGGTTTTCTTCCTCATGAAATAGAGAGCAGAGTCCTTCAAGAGTTGCCACCAAAGCCTTTTCTTTATTTCTCTTCAATTCCGCCAAATAGGTTGTTGAGCTGAATTACTGCCTCTTCTAATATGCGACGTATATTCCTTCATGTCTTTGTCCTTGTCCCTCCTTGTTTGGGGAATTCCATGATTATCCTATGGTTGACCCTGGCACAGCCCTGTTCATCAAGAATGTGTGTTACTTTCATTTGGGCGCCTGCGCCTGGGTGGTTCAGTGGGTTAAGCCTCTGCCTTCAGCTCAGGTCATGATCCCAGGGTCCTGGGATTGAGCCCTGCATCGGGCTCTCTGCTCAGCAGGGAGCCTGCTTCCCCCCCACCCCCCCGGCTCTGCCTACCTGTGATTCCTCTCTCTCTGTGTCAAATAAATAAATCTTTTTTAAAAAAAGAATATATGTTCCTTTCCAAGCCTTTTGTGCACATCTTCTGTAACTTAAACCACCAATCATCTACTATATTCTGCTTTCTGTACTGCAACAATTACTTACCTTTCTGCCCCAAGAATGTGAGTTATGAAAAGGCCTTTTCTAAATCACATCTTGATCTCTAGTTTTGTAGGCCTTGCCCAGGGCACATGTACAAATGTTTGAGTGAAGGAATAGCACTAGATGATAAATCCAATGATCTGCATTGGATTAAATCCACTCATATTGTTTCTAGGGACTTGGTTATTTGCCGTGGTGTTATTAAGCATCCCCTCAGTCTTACCTCTCAAGGTTTTCCAGTGAGGGCAGGGCCAGACACCTGCATTTAAATAGCATTACTTGAACATCTTTTCAAACTGTATTTTAAACAATTACCATTAATTAGAAGGGATATATCTATTAAACAGTAATAGCAATGTATTTACGGAGGGCAGCATACTTGGCAAAAATTGTATTTTGTGCAATTAATATAAACCTAAATACATATACTATAAATATCTAAAAGGGGAGAAAGATCCTGAAATAGTTTTTTTTGTTTGTTTTTAAGAGAGGGGGAGAGAGAACAGGGGGAGAGGGAGAGAGAGAATCTTAAGTAGGCTCCATGCCCAACATGGAGCCCAACACGGGGCTCGATCTCACAACCCTGAGATCATGACCTGGGCCAAAATCCAGAGTTGGATACTTAACTGAGCCAGCCAGGTGTCCCAGTCCTGCCATCTTCATGAGGGCACAGTAAAACCGTGGCTGCCATTCTGGAACAGGAGCCTTTGGTCTGACTCTACAGTGGTGAAGCTCCCCTCTGAAGGGATTCTGCCCAGGGTTTTGCTTTTCTTTATATGCCTACAGGCAGCAGAGCAGCTTTCAGAGAAGGAAAACCTGTGTCTTCTGATTGAAGAAATGGGTGGCATTGATAAAATTGAGGCTTTGCAACTTCACGAGAACCCGCAGGTTGCCCTGATGGCTTTGAACATTATCGAGAACCATTTTTCTGAGGTAAGCGACTTCAGAGGGGAAAGGAGTGCCCACGCCTCCTGGCGTGCCACCTTCGCGGGTGATGACCGGGCAGGTGCCCGTTCTGCTCTTTGAGGTGGGCGACCAAACACGGCTTCTCTTGTGACTTAGCTCTGAGTTTCTCCCCCATCCGTGTTGAATGGGCTGCCTTTGAATGGCAGCTTCCTGGCTCCTGGAAGATCATTCTAGGCCCATAAAAGCTTGTCTGTTGTCTCTGGTTTAGGATTTTATTCTCTTTTTTACCCCCCTACTTGCTTCTTTTGATGGGGATGGACAGATGGATGGAGGAAGGAAGGGGTTATGATGCTGAGGTGTTTTTTTTTTTTTCCTTTGTTGAGAAACGCAACTAAAGCAGGCCCAGCTTTTGAAAAGCATTTTTCTACTTAACACATTTTGTCTCTTCCCAGAAGATGGGGTTTGGGATAAACTGTACACGGGGCTTCTAACTTCTCTGCAGAAGCAGGGAATGATGACCAGAGAGCATTAGACACTTCTTTAAACCACTTTTTATTGTAATGTGCAACATAAAAGTTTACCATTTTAACCACTTTTGAGTGCACAGTTCAGGGTCCTTGAGTACTTTCCCATTGCTAGGTAGACCTCACCAGCATCATCTCTAAACTTTCCCATCTTTGCAAAATGAAGCTCTGTCCCCATTAAATACTAACGCCATCCTTCCTCTCCCCAGCCCACCCCCTGGCAACCACCATTTAACTTCCGTCTCTGTGAATTTGACTACTCGAAGTACCTCACATAAGTAGAATCCTATGGTATTTGTTCTTTTGGGATTAGCTCATTTTACTCAGCACAATGCCCACAAGGTTCATCCATGTTGCAACGTGTGCCAGAATTTCCTTTATATTTTAGGTTGAGTAATATGCCGTTGTGTGGATATGACATTGTTTATCCATTCATCATAGATACTCACTTGGACTGTTCTTTTGATCATTGTGAATAATGTTGCTATGAAAATGGTTGTACAAATATCTGTTCGAATTCCTGCTTTCAGTTCTTTTGGGTGTATATACAGAAATGGAATTGTTGGGTCGCAGGATAGTTCTATTTTTAATTTTTGAGGAACCACAATACCGTTACCCATAGTGAATGTACCATTTTACATTCTTATCAGCAATGCGGGAGGGTTCCCAGTTTTCAACATCCTTGCCAGTACTTGCCTTTTTTTTTTTTTTCCTTTTCTTAATCATAGCCATCCTCATGGGTGTGAAGTGGTATCTCATTGTGGTTTTGAGTTACATTTTGTATTAGATATTTTTCATAGGAAGATGGTAAGCTCAAAGTTAAGTGGCCAGGAGGCTGGGGTTTTATAAAGTGGCACCCCATTAGGCATCAAACTTGAATCAGCAAAATCTGGAGCCATACAATAAATAGGACCATGTTGGTGGTGAGTTGCCTATACTGGTTTGGGACCAAGAGGATGCTCTCTAAGCAGAGAGGACCCAGAACAGCAGTCAGCAGCTTCTGGGTTAAGGCTCCTACGAACACCTTGGAATTAGGAGACCCATCTCTTAAAAGAGGTTCGGATCTCTAGGACTCCTCCAATGGCCCCAGGCTAAAGACTTCTGATTTGGAAGTAACAGCTCCATATGCTGTGTCCTTAATCACTATAAGGGCACTGTTCTGTGCATCAAAACTACACTTACAAATAAGCCAGACAAGAATACAAATACTGAGTGCTTTCACTTACGTCAGAGATCTAGAAGGGTCCAACTCAGACAGACCTCCAGCAGAATGGTGGGTGTCAGGAGCTGGGGGAGAGAAGGAAAGGGGGAGCTAGTATTTAATAGGTACAGAGCTTCTGCAGGTGGATGGTGGTACTTGCCCAGCAATGTGGACATACTTAATGCCACTGAGCCAATGGTTAGAGATGGCAAGTTTCTGGTATGTATGTTTTACCACACACACAAACTCCCATTGAAGATCCAGCCTGAGAAATATTTCTGTGCTCCTCTCCTCTGAGGGAGACTTGAGGCCGATTTGGAGAAAATTGCTAATCCACGGAAGATATTAAGGAGTCGACAGTGCAGCAGTAGTATGCTGAGAGAGTGCAGGTATAATAGTGTCTCTTCTTCCCTGAAGGGAGAAGAAAGTGGCGCAATATTACCAGCCCTGGATCAAGATCATGAATTCTTAAATGACTTAACAAAAAAATACCAAGGCCCCCTGATTCCTAAACCAAGGAGCAAACCCTAACAGGGAACTTAAGAACCTTCTGCATCTTGGCATGGCACAGGTGTAAAGCGTTTTAAACTAAATGTTAATAAAATTTTCAACACATTCACCTCCATCTATCAAAATTGCCGTTAAACTGCTTATGTCTTAAAGGCACATGGAATTCTTTTCCTAAGAATGTGTGGTTTAGTGGTTACTTTTAAGGATCTTAAAGGAAGACCCTGAAAACAGTAGAATGGGCTACAACTAGCTAGACAAATTTTGGCTTTGTAGGCTTGGTTTAACCCACCATTCTTATATTTCTTTCCCCTTTCCATTGTCATGTAATGCCTGCTAATACAGAACATTCTTCAGGGAAAGCTGTGTGGACGATAGTCAAGAGGAGAGTGAGAAGAGGATGGGAAGGACGTAGGAAAATGATCCTAGGCAGTGTTGTGATGGATGTGGGATATACTTTAAGGAGGATTGGACTTGATCCACCTCTACACTCGAATAATACAAATTAAGTTCTTTTGTGGTGCTGAAGAATCACACCAAAATGTCATGCCCAAAGCAGGTCTTTCCGTGTCCTAGACAAGTGAGGAGGAAAGCTGGGTGGGAGTCCATCTAAAATACTGCTGGAAGAACATTCATGTTCTTACAAACCTCTCATGGAATGGTGAGAACATATCTAGGATTTAGTGGACATGAGATCTTCTGATAGGTATCCTCCTCAACTTCTGGGGTGATGATGCTCGCTGCCCAGAGCTGTGCTGGTGGGATGGAATCCTCGGTGTTTTGCTCTTCCACATGGAAATAGAGAGGACCTGGGAGACTCCTTTTCAACTCCCTCTTTCATTCCTCAGTTCAGGACATCCTAGCTTGGTACAGCTCCAACCAAGCAGAATCCCGCTCGACAAGAACTTTGATTCTTAGACCCAGGGACTGAGCAAGAAGAAACAAATTGTTGGCAAGTGTTCATTTACTCCAGCAGCAGGACCTTATGCTCTGTGGAGTAGACCTTCTCAGTGGTTACCTGCCTTCTGCTTCTCCAAGGCTTCCCTTTGGTCCTGTCTGCTCCCCCATACTCTTTTTTTTTTCTTTTAATTTTATTTATCCATTTATTAGAGAGCACATGCACATGAGTGGAATGGGAGGAGCAGAGGGAAAAGGACAAGCAGACTCTGCTGATTGCAGAGCCTGATGTAGGACTCAATCCCAAGAAGCCCCTGCTCTTCTATACTCTTATGACAAATTTCTTTTGTTTAAGTAGCCAGAAATAGTTTCTGTTGCTTGCAACTGAAGAATCTTAACTGATAAACATGGATGAGAAACTAAATTGTAACTAGTTATTTAAATGGAAAATTAAATTAAATGCGGGGCTCAATTCCAGGACCCTGTGAGATCATGACCTGAGCTGAAGGCAGAGGCTTTAACCCACTGAGCCACCCAGGCGCCCCGATCCTCTACAAATTTTGTAAAAATTAAAAACAAAACTAAGAATGGAAAAAAATAATTCTCCCATTTCACACAACTGTTCTGGATTGATTATTTTTAAGTAATCTCAATGCCCAAGGTGAAGTTTGAACTCGTGACCCCGAGATCAAGAGTCGCATGCCCTACAGACTGAGCCAGCCAGCTGTCCCATCAACACAACCGTATTTACGTTTGTGTTTTTCCCTTCCAGTTTGAGTCCATGTATACATTTTTTTTCTTTTATCTGATCGAGATCCGATTCTTTTTCAACATTTTAAATGCCACCTTCTCCCCCTCCCCCATCAGAAGACTGAAGTTGAGGGGAAGGCAGAAGGTGATGTGCTTTACAAAAATAACTTGAGAAAAAACGTTTGAAACCCTGTTGAGGTTAATCATTGCCCAAATGGCCTGACCTGTTGACTCAAAATACTATTAGCCTTTTTCTCCCCTTGCAGTCAACTATTTTTACAAAAATTGCATAACAAAGGAGCATTTGTAGTTGCAGGATACTGATACCAACTTGTCTAGCAAGGATTTTAGAAAAGGAGCTATCTGCCTATCCTACAAGGCTTAGGTACAAAGAGTTGGTGTTAGTCACCTTCTGGCTGGCTGCCTATGAGCTTGGACTCGGTGTTGGGATGACTGGCAGAGCAACAGAAAGAAGGGAGTAACTGGCCCAATGTCAGCTTTATGATGTAAAAGCTGAGCTGGAACAAATGACTCTTGCATTTACCTAAAGCTTGTCATGTACCATGGAAGAGAAGCCATTCTCCTGTCTACCCTACAATCCACAATTTACCTGTCACCTATCTTCCTGAAACATGGGGTGACCATGTTTAATGACAACAGAACATGATATTTTAGGCATAGAAGCAAAAATAGCCAGATGTGAAGTTCTGGGCTATGGGGTCTGGTCCTGGCTCTTTTTCTAAATAGTTGAAGCCGGGGCAAGTCCTATAATTTCTCTGTTCCTTAATGCTTCGCCTGTCAATTCTTTACATTCCTTTGGGCTTTCAGTTTTTATCTGCAAAATAGGGAGCTTGGGTTTAGTAAATTACTAGTTGTATAATGTCTCCATATATTTTCTGATGTGCAAGTCATAACCTTGAAAAGGTAAAGTGTGGCAGAAATGGTTATCAGTCTCCAATGAAAGAAAGTGGAGCTCACAATGTTACTCAATATGTCTTGCATCTTTTATTAAGTGGTAGAGCAGAGACTCAGGTACAAACCCTGATATATTATCTGTTATAGAACAAATTTCCCTAAAACTTAACAGCTTAAAAAAAAACCCTATTAGTTTTTTATGGTCACACATTTTTTTGTGGGTCAAGGATCTGGAGACTGCTTGGCTGCTGGTTCTGGCTCAAAGTCTCAAGAGAGTGCATTCAAACTTCTCCTAGAACCGCATTTCATCTGAAAGCTTAACTGGGGGAGGATATGCTTCAAAATTCACTTACATGGTAGGTAGTAGGTTTCAGTTTGTCCGAGGCTGTTGGCTGGAGACTTCAGTTCTCCATCAGACAGGCCTTCCATAGGACAAGCTAGTTTCTCCTAGAGCAAGTGATCTAAGAGTGCATACATGGGAGAGACTGGTCAAGATAGAAGCCACGGTCCTTTATAAGATAATCTCAGAAGGTGATATACTATCACATCTACCATATGCTGCAAGTTACACAGACTGACCCTGGTAGAATGTGGGCTACACAAGAAAGTGGAGACTAGGAAACAGGATCATTGGGAGCCCCCTTAGAGGCTGACTACCCCACTCTGCCACTCTACCATGTGTTCACATTTTATTTATTTATTTAAAAAGATTTTATTTATTTATTTGACAGAGACACAGAGAGAGAGGGAACACAAGCAGGGGGAGTGGGAGAGGGAGAAGCAGGCTTCCCGCCAAGCAGGGAGCCGAATGCGGGGCTAAATCCCAGGACCCTGGGATGATGACCTGAGCCGAAGGCAGATGCTTAATAACTGAGCCACCCAGGTGCCCCTGTGTTCACATTTTAAGAGACTTCATTCTGATGATAGCCTAGGGTCAGTGAAGTCTCTGCAAAGAAAAAGAAGTAAAGAACCAAATGGAAATTTTAGAACTAAAAAATATAACAGAGGGGCACCTGGGTGGCTCAGTGGGTTAGGCCACTGCCTTCGGCTCAGGTTATGGTCCCAGGGTCCTGGGATCAAGCCCCGCATAGGGCTCTCTGCTCAGCAGGGAGCCTGCTCCCCCTGCCTCTCTCTCTGCCTGCCTCACTGCCTACTTGTGATCTCTCTCTCTCTGTCAAATAAATAAAATATTAAAAAAAAAAACGGAAATTAAAATTTACTAGATGGGCTCAATAGCAAAATGGAACAGACAGGAAAGAATTAATGAACTTGAAGATAGACCAATAGAAGCAATTAAACCTCTAGATCCAACTACCAACCTACAGGAAATACAGAAGACAGGGAAAAATGTTAAATTACACCTCAGAGATGCAACTGGCAAAATTCAGACTGTAAGAAACTCTGCAAGACCATTCTATTTCCTCGTTGAATAAATTCCAGTGAATAAAATCACACATGAAGGAAACTTAGAGACTTAAAAGACTATTGACCATCACCAGAATATGTGGCTTATTAGCTCTGTTCTGGTTGTAACAAATGTAAAATAAATAAAACACATGACATTTAGGAGACAACTGGAAACTTGAACATTGAATGGAGGTTTGATATTAAAGAAGTATTAATTTTTTAGGTTGAATAATCATGTTAAGGTTATGTTTATAAAAAAGTCCTTATCTTTCAAAGGTATGTACTGAGTGATTACAGGTGGAATGATGTGTGAAATTTGTTTCAAAGTACAGGATAAGGAAAGTGGAAGAGGGAGAGATATATAGGGTAGGACTGGCAATTCAATAATAGCTTCAGGGCTGGTGATGGGACCATGGGGGGTGCAGGTATTATGCCATTCTTTTTTTTTTTTTCTTTCCCCTGTGAACATAGGAATTTCCCAATAATTAAAAAAAAATTAAAAGCCATTATGTCCTTTTACTCCACAAAGTTGATCATCTGACCCTTCCCTACCCTGATTAGTAAACTGAAAGATTGTTTCCTCATTTGGGTAGAAAAAAGATCTCTGTAA